GGGGGGATGTGGGATGTGTGGGGAGTGGCAGGGGTGTGGGGGGGATGTGGAGTGTGTGGGGAGTTTTGAGGGAGAGCTACTATATGCCCATTTCCCCCCACCCCCTGAGGCATACTGCCTGCAGTGCTGGGAGCAGCAGCCAGCCAGGCCATGCTCACTGCAGTGCTGACCTGAGGTCCGTGCAGGAAGATCAGGCCCACCCGCTAGTGCATCTTTGGACCCTCAGTGTGCTAATGGGGTGGGGTGGGTTGGGCTGGGCCCGTTTTCCCTGCGTGGACCGCGGATCAGGCAGTGCTGCAGCAGGCATGGCCCAGCTGGCTGGCTGCTGCTGCCAGTGCCAGGAGCTGTGCATCACCAGGGGTGGGGGGAATGGGCATGTGGCGGTCCCCCCCTCAAGCCCCACATTTCGCCCCACACCCACACACCAACGCACTCCACATTCCCCCCCCACCCCACTCTTGCAAACCTGGATCTGACTGTAGAATTTTTAGTGTATTCATTCTCGGAACACCCCAGGGCACCACTGTTATTCTGATATCACATGGGAAGATTAAGGCATACGGAGTGCATGGAGGGACACATGAATGCTTGGACCCCTTTCAAAAGGGGAGTATTTTAAGAATTGCAGCAGCTGGTAGGTTCTAATTGTTATGTGTGAGCTGAGAATGATTCAAATGAAGACAGCCTTCTCCACTTCTCCATCTAGGGTTAAAGTTGCACGAGGCTTGATGTACCTCCCTCATGACTGACTCCAGACAAGCTGTAACAATCAGCTTCAAGGTCATCCATGAACACTAGGGAAGACATGTTTCAGATTTCTAGGCATATAGCCTTTCATAAATTCATAGATTGTAGAGTCAGAAGGGACCACAAAGGATCATCGTGTCTGACCCCCTGCCCCTGGCAGGAAAAAGGACTGAGGTCAGATGACCACAGCCAGGTGTTTATCAAGCCTCCTCTTGAAGACCTCCAATTTAGCTGATAGTACCACCTCTTTTGGAAGCCCATTCCAGATTCTGGCCACCCTTACTGTAAAAAAATTCTTCCTAATGTCTAACCTGAATCTACTCCTCACTATTTTGCACCCATTATTCCTAGTTACTCCTAGGGGTGCTCTGGTAAATAGCTCATCTCCAATTCCCTCTTGTCCTCCATTGATAAATTATAGGCAGCTACACGTTCTCCCCTCAGCCATGTCTTGTGAAGGCTGAAGAGCTCCAGATCCCTCAACCTCCCCTCATAGGGTCTTTCACGGAGGCCACTAGTCATGCAAGTGGCCCTTCTCTGAACCCTCCCCAGATTCTCTGTGTCCCTCTTGAAGTACGGCACCCAAAACTGGACACAGTACTCCACCTGTGGCCTGACCAATGCTACATAGAAGGGGAGCATCACCTCCCTCGATCTGTTGCTCATGCATCTGCTGATGCACAACAAGGTGCAATTGGCCTTGTTGATGGCTTTATGACGCTGCTGTCTCATGTTCATCTTGGAGTCAACTATAACTCCAAGATCCCTCTCAGCCGCTGAGCTGCTGAGGAGGTCATCCCCCAACCTATAGGTGTGCTGGGGATTCCTCCTCCCTAGGTGGAGTACCTTGCATTTATCTTTGTTGAACTGCATTCTATTTCATTCTGCCCATTGGTCAAACCTGTCCAGATTGGCCTTTATCTGCTTCCTGCCCCCCAGTGTATTAACTTTGCCCCATAACTTGGTATCATGTATGAATTTGGAGAGGGTGCTCTCTACACCCTCTCCAAATTCATACATCATGTATGAATTTGGAGAGGGTGTAGAGAGCACCCTCCTCCAAGACTTTCCAAGAGTTCCAAGAGGGCTTTTTTATCCCCTTACCCTCTTTCCTGCATAAGGGGATAGACTCCTTTTGTGCCCCAAGTATCACTCCCTTGAGAAACCTTCAACCCTCTTGGACCCCCATTTGCTCGATGCTCTTGAGTTCAGCCACCTCACTAACTGGCCTTCTAAGTTTACTAAAGTTGACCCTTTTGAAGTCTAACACTTTAGCTTCACTGGATATTTTTTCCCACACTTTGCTGGATAGTGAACTCTACCAAGTGATGGTCACTATCTCCCAGGTTACTGTGTACTTGCAGTTTCCCCACAAGATCATCACCTGTTGCTAAGACCAGGTCTAGCAAGGCGGTACCCTTGGTGGGACTGGACACCACCTGGGTTATGTGGAGGTCCTGCACGCAGTATAAGAACCTATGTGAGCAGTTTGTTTTGGCTGTCTGCTCCTCCCAGCAGATGTCCAGGTAATTTCAATCCCCCATGACCACCACCTGCCTCGCCTGACTGGCTTCTGAGAGCTGCCTGGAGAATACCTCATCTAGCTCATCATCCTGATGAGGAAGTCTGTAGTAGACCCCCACTACTTTTCCCCTGGCCTTCTGCACTTATGTAATACAGCTGCCCGATTTCACTTATTTTCCATGAAAAGCAATAAAAATCCATATCTCTTCCAGTCCAGCACCACATACATGTAATAGACATAGTACCACAAGAAGTTTTCATCCTGCTAAACTGGTGGAAAGACCCTCTGCACATGGAACGCTATTCTCTGTACTCTTACTTGCCAACCTTCTGGTGACTGATGCCACCACAGAGGGATGGGGTGGCTCTTCTGGATTCATTTTAAGTATTGCTACTGGAGGAACCTTCAGAATCTCATTTACATATGAACTGCTTAGAGCTATCTGCCTGGTATGCCAGAGTTGTCTGCTTCTTCAGGGGTCAGTAACTCAAATGCCAAAGGATACCACCACAGTGATGCCCTATGTCAATAGAGATCATTTCCACCATGCTTGGAAGTCAAATTAGTACCTTTTTAGTTAAGTCACACCAGAACACATTATGTTCTTGACCTTCAGAATACCTTGACAGCTGTGATCAGTAGGAAGTTTTCTGATAACTAAGTTCTAAAGGCATGGACTTACAGATTATCTTTTTTTGCAAGTGTGGATCCCAAAGGCACACGTGCTTCCAACAAATAAGCAAAATAATTGTCACATGGTCTTCTCCAGAGGAGGTACAAACCCAGGCTCACTCTCAGAGCTTTTTTTACTTGAACACTAGTGTTGCTGGGTGCCATTTGATCAATCTTCATGATATCCAAGGTCTTCAGGAGACTGAAACAGATTGCATATGATTATGATAGCTCTAGATCAGTGGTTTTCAACCTGTGGTCTGCAGACCCCTGGGGATCCACAGACTATGTCTAAGGGGGTCCACAAAAGATGACTATGATCAATCAATTCACACTTACAATTCAAAGGAGGTCCGTACCTCCTTTCAAAATTTCCAAAGGGGTTCAAACTTCCATTAAAAAATATTTAGGGGTCTGCAAATGAAAAGAGTTTGAAAACTACTGTACTAGATGGACTAATCTTCTCTGGTATTCAGACTTGAAACACAGCCACAAGTCACCAATCTTTAGAGCCAGGGTCATATCACGCACCTATACCCAATTATGTGGGGGCTAAATGAAAGAGGTGTTTTGTTTGAGCATCCCAGCACTATATCTCCCTTAACATCTCCAATCTTAATAGTACTGGTATACATGTCTCCAGGTGATCCAGACTTCCCAGCAAATCCCGAAGGATTCATCTAGCAACAACACCACAAGTAGTACATGTGGCCAATCACTTGAAGAAAAAAAGATTGATTACCATACAGTCCTGATGAACAATAATTGTTGTTCATCAGAATACTACATTTGTATGTGTACAACATGCCCCGGAATATAATACACACTTGTTTTTGGAAGTCAGAATGAAGAAAAAAGGATTTTTCTAGAGAGATGGCTGCATAGGACAGGGAAAGAGCCTAATCTTTTGCTGACTCACCCTTCCTTTCCTGCTTAACTAAAGCTGTAACCCTAGCTGCCACTGAAGACTGGTCTCCATGGGCAGATCTATGGTTTTGAATAGATTTGTGGTTTTGAAAGAGTCTCTAGATCTGTTAAATGGGAGAAAAGAGATGAGAAACAGGTAGCAGACATAAAAATGTCCCTAAGAAAGGTTAGCATGACTAGTGGAAGATGGAGACCGTTAAAAAGGAAAGGCAATTGTTAACACCCGTGGAGTGAAAAACAATTAGACATTAAGTCAATTGACTCCTTCAACTGCCTGAATACTAATGCCACAACTGTTGCACTTTAGACCAGGAGTCAAAGCAGGGTGCACCTATCTTGAGTACTAATAGCTTCTTGCTTAATATGTGCCAAATTGGGGGGGGGGGGGGGGAGGGGTTTTGGGGAAAAATTTG